CAGCTAAATTTCTGCCTGAAATTAAAAAAAAAAAAAGAAAGAAATAATATGTGAGGAAAGTCAGGGGAAATTCCATAGAAGAGGGTAAGAATATTGTTAGGTCTGACATAGAATTAGTTTAGAAAGTCAGCAGGAAAATTAAGTCATCTATTTATAGATTTTACAGATTTTTGGTAATAATAATAATTAACATATAACCACAATCACAGATCTGCAAAAGACCCCAAAAGGATCCTTGTACACACCTATGTCATTTTATAATTTGTGGTACAGGCCATCCTTTCCTAGGAATTTAATTAGAGAACTCTAGAACTTTCCTTATGATTTATTTAATATCACAATGACAACTTTCCTTCCTCTCACTCACTCTTCCTTTCTTAATTATTAAGATCAATTCTTTGTTTTAAAAAATTATGAGTACAGAGGTTACCATAATTTATTTCCCAAAACTATGAGTGTTTAAGTAACTTCCAGAGCAATAACAGAAAAATTTACATTTAAGTTCAAATGGATCAGTGATTGCTCAGTTTAGAACAAAAAATAGAAAACAGACTCTGGGAAATACTGATATATTGCCAAATGAATTCTAACCCAGATATATAAAAGTTCTTAGTTTTTATTCATATTTTTAAAATAGGACCTTATGAAGGTATAAAGGAAACATTTGAAACATCAAAAGCAGTTTGAAAATTCCATGGAAAATTTTTTTTCCATTTTCTTTTTATGTAGTTGAGGTATAACTTATATACTCCAAGGTGCACAAGTCTTAAATATACAGCACAATACAATTTTACATATGGATAAAACATCCCTTGCTATTTTTCAACGCTCTGTAGTTTCTTATTCAATGGACATGTCACAATTTATTAATCTATTCTATTGTTGATATACATTTGGTTTGTTTACATTTTGGAGCTATTGGGCTGTCGGGAAAGTCATGACATATTTTTTCTGTTTTTCGTTGCAAAAATGCAGCATGACTTTCCCGACAACCCAATATTATGGGTAATATTGCTACAAACATTCTTGTACATAAGCACTCATTTTTGTTGGGTATGCACTTAGGAGTGGCATTTCTGAGTCTTGGGGCATACATATGCATATGCTTAGCATTTGGATGTACTATCAAAAGTTTTTCAAAGTGGTTGGACCAACTTGCACAAGCACTAGCCATGTTTGGGACTTCCAGTTGCTCCATATCCTTGCCAACCCTTAACTATTGTCAGTCCTTTTAATTTTTGTCATTCTAGTGGGGGTATATGCATTTTTATTTTATTTCCATTTTTTTGATGGTTAATAATGCTGAGGGCCTTTTCAAATTCTCAATATTCATATGGATATTCTTTTTTGTGAGGTCCATGTTTGGGGCTTTTTTCTCATTAAAAAATTTTTTTTGGGGGTGGTAAATATTTGGAGGGGATGCATAGGCTTCTCGGTACGTTCTAGATATAAGTTCTTCATGAGATACATGTGCTGCAAATATCTTCCCCTGGGTTGCAACTTGCCTGTTTACTTTTTTTTTTTTAATTACATTTATTGGGGGTTACATTGGTTAGGAAAATTATATAGGTTTCAAGTGCACAATTCTACAATACATTATCTACATAATGCACTGTGTATTCACCACCCAGCATCAGCTCTCCTTCCATTACCATATATTTGACCCCCTTTACCCTTTTCTACAATCCTCCCTCCCTCCTTACCCTCTGATAACACTAAGCTGTTGTCTGTGTCTATGAGTTTTTGCTTGTTTGTTTGTCTTATTCATTTGTTGCTTTCAGTTTTATATCCCACATATAAGTGAGAGCATATGGTTCTCGACTTTTTTGGTCTGACTTACTTCGTTTAGCATGGTAATTTTAAAATCCCTTCTTTAGACCATACCAAGTGATGGTGAGGATATGGAGACAATGGGACTACACTGATGGTGGGACATAAAATGTTCCCACACTTTGGAAAACAGTTTGGCAGTTTCTTAAAAAGCTAAGCATAACCTATCATTTCATTCAGCCATTCTGTGCCTAGGTATTTATCTAGAAATCAAAGCCTATGTCCATACAAAAGAGTTGTACATGAATTATCATAGCAGATTATTTGTTGTAGCCAATATCTATTCATAGGTGAATAGGAAAACAAATAGTGGTGTATTTATACAATGGAATTCCCCTTTGCAATAAAAAGGAATGAACTATTGATTCAAGCAACTACATGAATAAATATCAAAATTATTCTGAGTGATCGAAGCCAGATTAAAAAATCCATATTATATTATTTCCTCTAAATAAAATTTTAGAAAATACAAACTAATCTATAGTGACAGAAAGGTGTTCAGTTGTTGCCAGGGACCAGGGTGAGGAGACGTTGAGGGGCAGAAGAGATTATAAAGGTCCTTGAGAAATCTTGGGAATCTGGATATGTTCATTATCTTGATTGGGTTGATGGTTTCACTGGTGAATGTATATGTGAAAACATATCAAATTGTATGATTTAAGTTATGTGCAGTTTATTGTTTGTCAATGATTCCTCAATAAATGTGTTAAAAACTTTTCAGTAATGTAGTTATGCTACTTTCATTTATAATTTTTATAAAAATCGATATAATAATTTGTATAGTTGTTTATGGCATTTGTTAAATATATCATGGCCAAAGACAATATTTATTTTTTAATTCAGTAATTCATCCAGCAAACATTCAAAGTGCCAGACATTACAGAGAAACACAGGTAAAGTGATCTAGTGGTAGAGAACTAGCATTTATTGAGCATTGAAAGATTTCAGAGCATGTCTCCTCAAAATAACATATTACTTCAAGCTGAAGGAACTTGAGAAACAGCAGATGCGAGAAGGGTTGTCTTACCTACCCTTTTCTTTCTAAAACAGGCCACAAAATTTCCCATGAGAAAGGTGCCCTCCCTATATTAGAAGAAGCATCCTTCTCATCAGAGTGGAACTTGATGCTAAAATGGATCTGTACAAACTTACTGAAATAACCATTATCTTCCACTAGTTTTGCACCCCCCACCCCCACACACCATTTATCTCCTAGTCACTTCCCTACAACGTCCCATTGTGTTGTCAATTTTTCATAAATTGTTTATTTCTTTGTTTAAAAGGTATAAGAGCTTTCTGCTCTGGTCATTTTTTCAGGTCTTCATTCTCTTGTGAAAGCTCTCATATATCAGCAAATATTTAAACTTGTATAGTTTTGTCCTGTTAACCTGTCTTATGTCAATTTAATTCTTAGACCCAGTCAGAGACCTAACGTGGGTAGAGTGTTTTTCCTCTCTTACAGTACCTATTTTGTAATAGCTACTGTTTTTACATCCATCACTTCATTTACTTTTCACAATATAGAAGACATAACTTCTTGTATCCATTTTACAGATGGACAAATTGAGCCCAAAGATGTTAACATACAGGAAGTGGCAGGGCTGGTACTGAAATCCAGGTTTGTGTGACTCCAAAGTCATGGTACTTTTCATCAAACCACCCCGCAAAACTGACAATCACATCTAAAGAGCTCTGGGAAAATAAAATCCTTAAAACTTTCTGAGGAAGTCAGTTGAATGCTTTGCTACTGAGGCCTTATTGTTTGCGACATAATCAAGGCTCTCAAGTATTTAGAATTTTAAGGGAGTGCATTATTGATGACTCAGCGGCAAATTACATATTACCTGTCAGGCAGAAGTAATGTTTTCTTCTTCATTGCTCCTGTAGCTCTGTTTATGTGGTCAGTTTATAACTCATCTACTTCATACTTTAGTGAGTTATACTGAAGCTTGTAACTGACAATTACCGTGAGCTGGAAGTTGCCATTTGTATTTTAACAACATCTAAAATTTTAAAGCACCTACTAAGATTTGTGTGAAATCCTCTTACACAGTTAATTATTAACAACTTGACGAGTTAGATGCTATTACTCTATTACTGACAAAGAAACAGACTGCAGCATAAAAATTGTTGTAAAGTATAAAAGAAAACACTTAAGCCATATAAAATTAGCAACTATCTATTTTTGGGTACAATTTTGTCTTGGAGTTACATTAAGCAGCAATGATAGTTAAGAACAAACATTTGTTAGATACATTCAAGTACACGTATCAACTATATTTCAAGTCACTAACAAATATGAATTGAATTTGTATTATTTTTTTCTATTACAGATAATAAAACGCTGATTAAGCTTTTAATTCATTTCTAGAATTTGATATTTACGTTATGTAAAGTACCACCATTTCAAATACATAAGCTAAAACTGAAGTGTAGTTTGTTCAGTATGACGAGGTTGTTTTTTACTTAGTATCATTCACTTTGTTGTCTAAGAAATGAGGACATTTAATAGTATTAGATTTATTCATTAACAAACATTCATTACATAAGTGGCCTTAGATGTGCTATGACTAAAAAGCTATATTTAACACTCATCATGTTACACACAATTATGTATTAAATGAATGCTCAATGAGTCTTTTTTATGATGTTAATAATCATTTACATCGCCAAGGGCAGAGAGTTGTTTACTAGAGGTATCTATGCAGGACCCATATGCGTGAAACCGTAAATTACACGAAAGCGTGGTGACCTATTGTAGCCAGATTCTCAATTTAATCACATATATACATTTAAAAATAATATTTTTTCCTCTCTAAAGCTTGGGCTAATTCTTAAAAAAAAAAAAAGCATTAACAAGTTCGTTAATGCTTATTATGGGCCCAAGTAGGCCACAAAGGTGAAAGCTGGATAAGACAAGTCCCTGGCTCTTATTCAGCACACAATCAGTTTTTTCATTAGATTATCAGATATCAAATTTGGAAAACATTCTGGAACCTGGTTGTAGGTCAAGGATACCGGCTCGTAACATTTGGTCCAAATCAACAAATTGTAAGCAGTGGAATTCCTCCTCTTTAGAACTCCCGACAGCCAACCTGGAAGCAGGTGAGGTCACGCTAAAACGCAGCCCGCCTTATGCACGAGTGCGCATGCGTTCCCCGGGTGGTGCTTGACCCTGAGAGGTTGCCGTAGCGCAGTACGTAGACAAGACGTTGCGCGTGCGCAGGCGCTCAGCGCGGAGGGCTGCCGGAAGCCAAGATGGCGTATAGATGTTATCCAGGCCGCAGTTGGCGCCTTATCGGTATCTGAGCGGGTGTTTTGTAAGGGACTGTGGCGAACGCCCTCTTCGCCGCCATGGCCCGGCATCGGAATGTTCGAGGCTATAACTATGATGAAGGTAAGTGGCAGGCTTATGCCGGAATGTCAGTTTCTCTTTTCCAGCTGGGATCCTAGCTTATTGGCATCCACTTCGATTTGTGAGTTTCTCGTCAGTGGTGCCAGGCTGGAATTCAGAGGAGGCCCAGTTGGAGAAATTAATAGGACATCTGAGTGCCAGGGAATTGCGTTGTTTTATGTCATGATTTCTGAGCTCTGGGATTGTTCATTAGGGCGGGGGAGGTGCTTTACGTTGTCTTCTGGGAAGGACGTTTGGCGAGGTTGGGATCCGGTGGTATTTATGCACGTAAGCATTATCTCCTCCCCCTCATTATTTTCTCCCTGGTGGGAAACACACTTTCCTACTTTTACCTCCTCCCCCCACCCCTTCAAAAATGCCCATGAAACGTAACTTATTTGTAAAATACGGATTTATTTAATGGTTACAAGCAACTGTTTTACTGTAGCTGTGTTAAATTTACATGGTAAATCTATTGTGTTTGTTCATACATATTTAGTGCAGAACCTGGCTTGAGCTAACATTAATTTATTTTCTATGCGTTTCAACTTAAATTGGAAATTTAGGAGAGGGAAGAAAATATACATATTAAAAAGGCCGAAAGAGTCGAGTAGATAATCTTAGGTGTGTACTCAATTCTTGGTTGATAATCTCAATATAAATGCATTTGGAATGGGGGGAAAAAAAGCAGTGCTAGAAGCAAGAGGGCTTTGAAAATGACTTAACTGATTTTAAAAAATGAAATGAAAGAATGTGTATATGAATGTTCTCTAGGAGTTTAAAAGAAGTTAGAATCAGCCTCTATGTAGGGGATAATTATAGGCACCGCCTAGCATCATACAAACAAATTATAACCAAGTATGATCGAGTGCAGAAGAGGAGTAAAGATCTTTTGCTTTGTAAAATGCAGAACATGTCATGTGTTTAATATGTTGGTGGTTATTATTGGTACTCCCAGCAGATTATTGGAGAACATCAGGATGCTCTAACTGTAGTGGTGGGTAGCTAACACATTTGGAGACTGTAAGCCAGTCAGCCTGGCACATGTTAGGTTCCTGGTGTTCACTTCAGAATGGAGGCTGCTTTAAGTATTGGCAGTGGATGTAAGTATTGCATTTGGACCACAGTTACCTGAGAAGTGACTTTAGCCTGGGAGATAAAAAAGACATGAATAGGTCTAATTACTGCTTATTCATTTCTTGAATAAATATCATTTCCTCAGCCAACATTAACTGAGTGCTTATTCTTCATGGATTGAATGCTTAGAGTTTTGGAGACCGATAGTAAGATGTTTGAGGGAGTCTAAAAGGGAAGATACACAAGCAGCATATTTAGAGTATGAGATGCTACAAGAAGTACTCAAAGAGTGTCCTAGGAGCTCCGTAAGCAAGAACACTGTATTCAGAATGGGTTGGAGGAGTTTAAGTAGGATTTCTATGTGAAGGAAAGCTTCCCGGAGAAGTTCTTGGCCTCAGAAAGTGAGTGCTAAATATCTTCTCACCTTGGCAACCTCAGGTTAGGTTGTTATGTTTCTTTAGAACAATTGATGATGTCATAACCAAGCTATTCCTATAGCATAGGAGGCTCATCCCTTTTTCCTGCTTACAGAAGTTCCACTCATTTTTCAGAGTCCAGTTTATTTTTATTCCCAGTTAAGCTTTTCCTTGTACTCTTAGAATATTCATTTTAAAATTCTCAAAACTAATATAACTTCATTAGAGAGAGTTTGTGATCCAAAACCTATTGGTTCCTCTAACTCTCACTTTGTTCTTCTTTGTAATTTGGATAGCACTTTACATGATTGCCTTAGCTACTAATTTAAAAGTGCCACGAAGGCAAAACCCATACTTTATATTTACTCTAGTGGCTGCCATGATGCTTACGTGCAGTAAATACTCCCAAAATTTTGTTGAGGTCAAGAACCACTGTACAAAAATACAAGGAAAGAATTCTCTTTATCTTTTTATTTAATTACTTATTTTTTAAAATTTTATTGGGGAACAGCCATGATCATCAGTTACACATTGTGTTCATGCAATGGCATAGTTGACTCCCTTTTAAGGAGGGCTCACAGTCGCCCATGCGGGGATCGAACCGGCAACCCTAGTGTTATCAGCACGACACTCCAGTCACCCCTCTTTATCTTTTTATATTGTGGTACTTTTAGGGTCAATTTCAGTATTGAAAAACTGACCTAGTAAAAAAGATTCTTTTTGTCTTTTATATCTAAAAATACATTTTTGTGCATGGCTTCTCATTTATTTGCTAATAAGTTGTTATTAGCTTGGGATTGTATCTAATTCATTGAATGTTACATGTTTTAATCCAGTAGTAGCATTTGTCTAATTCTTTGCCATAAACATTTGGTCTCAGCCTTTGAACATACTGTTCCTGCTGTATGAATACCCTCAGAAACTAGCTAACTTTCCTTTGGAATTGGTTAAATATTATATTCCTGGGATCTTTCCCTAGCCACCCGAATACCAATTCTATTTTGTTGTTCATATGTGTGTTCCTAAACAGCCCTGTATTTTTCATGTGAAACACTTGTCATATGGTTTTGTAACTGTCCGTTTCTTGTCTGTGTTCCCTGTTAGATTTTAAGTTTGTAGAGCTATGGGAATGTGCCTGTCACTCACTGTTGTACTCGAAATGTTTCTACTAGTCTCTGGCATAGTTGTTAGTATTTGTCAAATGAATAAATGCTTTATGCAGGTATATTTGTGTTCTTTGTGGGTTTTTAGTTTTAAATTGTTTGATTCATTAATTTATCGTAAAACAAGGTATTAATTTAGTGCCAAACATGTGCCAGGTAGTTGGCTTGACAGCAGGGAGTGAAACAGGTATAGTACTTCAAAGACATTCAATTGGAGGAGTTTGCTAGAAAGTAAAAATAACATTGAGGCTTGCTGCTTTTTACCCAGAGTGTTCAGGGAAGACTTCTGCAAATAAGTGACATTTGAGTAGGAATCTTAACTAAAGAAAGAAAATTTGGTTAAAGAGCATAGTCTAGTCAGTAGGAAAAAAGATCAGTTAGCCTGAGCAGAGTGACCTTAAGGGAGTTTAGGATAAGCTGGTTTTTATAAAGATTACCTAGCTGTACATGAAGGAATACTGCTTTCATGGTCTGATTGTATACCCTGTTCCGGTCAGTTGTATGAAAAATAAATGCTTTGGTTATAGAGGGCATTTGGTGAAAAAAAAATGGATGGATTTCATTTAGGATATTTGTCAACACTGGAAGTACAATTCAAGTATGTGGTCTGTGGGATTGTTACTTTTTGATCACCTGAGGTGAAATATGGGAACAACTTAATAAAACCCAGTTAGCTTAAAAACTGAAGAACCACGTATGTCTTTATAAATGTATAAATGTAGAAAGTCAGTAAATACCTACTTTGTAAACTTTTTAGAATTTTTTGGAAATGTGGACATTCTAAGTTCTTTAATTTCTATAACAATTTATTTTTATTGGAAAGAATTCAGATGCTTTCTTGTTAATAATTAAGAATATAAAAAGAACTTGTACATGACTTTACCTTGTGTGTTTTTATTTTAGATTTTGAAGATGATGATCTCTATGGCCAGTCTGTAGAGGATGATTATTGTATTTCGCCATCAACAGGTGAATTAAAAAAAAAAAGATTTTCATTATTTGAGTGCTTAACGTTTAGCAAGTATTATTACCATTCTAGGACTAGAGTGCTCCATATTATGTAACATTTAAAAAGGTAATTATATTTTAACTTTTAAAGGTGTATACAATAATTCTTTACTTGTGAATAGAATTTAAAGTTTTGAGTCCATTATTTAGCTTTAAACAATTTGAAGAAAACATCAGGTAGCTCCAAACTGCAAGTGGTTAGCAGGGCTCCACTACAGGAGCAAAGAGCAGGTTTTTATAGAGAAGATACAAAGCAAAGCAAGGAAGTTATTTGCTTGGCTTTAGCTTAAATGGTTATTATTATTTGGAGGAGCCTAGTTGGCTTTTTGGGGTTGCCTTTTGTTCTTAGTTCTGAGGCATTCACAGGATTTGACTGGCTTAGTCAAATTCCATTTGCCACCAAGGCATTAGAACCACTTCAGTCTAATGGCCCCTTGTTATGATATCTTTAACAGTAGTAATCCTTATTCAGTCCATTCCAACTCAGAATCTTTATTGAGTATCAATTAATGTGTAAGAATAAGTCTATTCTAATAAATTAATAAATTAGTGTGGTATAAGGCAGCTAGATAAAAGTCCCATTCAAACAACATGCTATACAGCTGTATGGTGGGCAAAGAAATAGTCCTGCCTGAAGGAGTCTGGGAAGGTACCTGGAAGGAGGTGGGATGGGAACTGGTAAATTTGGGAGTAGAATGGCATTTTAGTAGGGTGTTTTTTGTTTTTTTTTGTTTTTTTTTGGCTGAGCCATCCTGCCACCTGTTGGCAGCTCAGCAGCTGCTCAGCTCGGGCCGGGACTCGAACTGCTGTTGCTCAGAGCTCAAACTCTTGAGCGAGCTCTTAACCAACTGAGCCACTCAGCTGGCCCTAGAATGGCATTCTAGATACAGGAAACAACAGTGGGCTCTAAGTGAAGTGTGTTTTGGACGAGTTACACGATTAATACAGTTGCAACAGGAAAGAGGGCTAGGAAAGGAAATAAGAGCCACATTTTGGAAGGCAGGTTTTAATTTTAGGCGTGTAGTGTCAACGTATTGAAGGTTTTTGAGTAAGGGGGTAGTATTTAAGGAAAGTAACTGATGATGGGATACTAAGTGGACTACAGGTGAGATAGATGAAAGTGGGGAGGCTTGAGGCCAGTGCTTCCTAACCTTCCCTGATGATCCCGGTCAGCTGGGAGTGATTTTAAAAATCAAATTCCCTGTCCCATTCCCCGACTAGTGAATCAGTATCTCCAGGTGAAGAGGCCTAAAATGCCATGTCTTTAATGAGTGCTTCACATGATTTTTATTTTAACGTGTTTAGGAAATAATTGTAGGCAGTTTCAGGAATCAGATTTTGAAATCTTAAACTTTTATGTTTGTCAGAAGGCCTTAAATTTTAAGTCACTGTGGTTGTCCAATTTTTCTGAAAGCATTTAAATTTTCAGAAAAGAAGAGCATTTTCAATTTATCGCTTTTCACCATTGCTTTTCTCACACTCTCTTTATTATTGTATTTGTTGTCTTTGGGGCTTTTATTTCACTTAAAAGATTTGGACTTTTCCCCCCCCCCCTCTAAGTAGCTATTTTCCCTGGGGAATGTTCCTACCCTCCTCCTCTCCCCACTTCCCAGCAAATCCAGCCATTACTACTTCCAAAACAATGGCCACAATATAGGTTTCCGAGTTGGATTTGTGTGTGAGTAGGGCATGGGAAAACTCCTTAGAGAAAACAGCTCCTAGGAGATAGAGTAGAAGCTTGGATGGACATTGACAACTTTGTTTTCCCTGTCAATATTTCCTAAGTGAAAATTGTTGAGGGAGGTATCTGATTTCTTGCCTCACATAATTTGTGATTGGTCTTAGGTTTTTCCTCACAGTTCAGTGCTATGAGAGGTAGTTGAGGAAAGTATATTTGTTATTTTTAGGCTAAACTAAATAGTTTATTTCAGCCAGGAAAGTAATTTGTAAGTCATCAGGCACAAAATGGCCCAGTTTACATTTTTTAGTACTACCATATTTTATTACATCTAAGATGTCATGGATTGTAAGACATACCATCATTTTATGTACCACTTTAAAAAAAATTGTAGTCTAAGTATTACATAATGCAAAGGTGCCATGTGATTGAGACACAGTACCTCATTCTGAGATTTTAATGTGAAAAAGTGGTTATCTTAGAGTATCTATGAAGTAGGTTGTCTTTTCTGTTTAGCCATGCTGACTTTGTCATAGCAGTGTTATATTCTTGCTCAAGAGGGAGAAAAATAGGGATTTTATATATACTGGGGGTGCCAAAAAAAATGTATATAAGTGGACACTGGTCAACGTTGCTCAAGCAGTAGTTCACTGTAATCAGAAGTGTCTGGATGCTGATGGTAACCACTTTGAGCACCTCTTGTAATTGCAGAAGTCAAACGTGACTTGTGTTCATCTTTTGTTATTGGTATATATTGAGTTTTACAATTTTAATAGTTTTTTTCTTAAAATGTGTATGCATTTTTTGGCACTATATATATATAATATATGTATATATTATATATATAAACACATAATATTTGCATTCTTGTAAAACCTTGTGGTTTCAAAATTGTGTACTAAAAATAACAGAACTTCTAGGGAAAAATAGGATCATGACAGACCACTCAACCTGTAAAGTGCTAACAAAAATAGTCATCATCTAATAAAAATTCTTGCACATTTGAAAACATACGTTAACTTCCTAATAAATAGTCCAGTAAATATAAGACATTACATTTTAAAAAAATGATGAAAGCCTGATAGAAAAAGGTGTAAGAAAAAGTTAAAACTAATGAATAATATTGCAAAAGCAAAGTGCTTAGAGCCAAACAGTAAGCACACACAGAAACAGAACACGTGATCAAACTGGGCCAAGAGCTTCCTGGTGTTACATCTGGTATTATAATGCAGTTAGAATTACAGTGTAATATTCTGTGGTTGGTGTCATTAGACTTTGTACCTGCTGCTGTTATGCAATGATACAAAACACTGAGGTGTCGGGGGAGGGAGGAATTTCATAAACGAAAACAACTTGAATATTATATCCTCATCATTCCCCTATTTACCATTTGGTATGAGCTAGTTTGGTTAAGGAAATGTACATTATCGCAGAATGGATTGAATTCTCTCAACTGCTCTGTATTTCTCTTATTCACTTCTTATCTAAGATGTCTTCCACCTCTTCAGTTTTTCTGATGTTCTTACCTCCTTTATTATAACTGCCCCAGTCTTCAGTGATTACTTCATCTTCTGTGCTTCTGCAGCACTTGTTATCTGTACTAATTTGGCTTTGAAAATATGTATTACACTTCTTTGCCTTCCTTGCTAATCTATAAGACCATCATTGATTTATACTACAAATAGATAGCACTCCATGGCCTTCTGAGAATAGATGTTACACGTAAGCCATAGTAGTACCTATTATCTATATATGCATTATCTATAAACTTTGAATGCAGTTAGTTTTCCTTACTTTCATAGATAGAGCCTTCCTGAAAACATGTACAAAAGTCCAATGTGGGAATGCTAAGCAGCAGACTTATATTTACATGCTCTTCTAGAAAACTAAATAATATATGTGTTGATGTGTCTATCCTCCTTTAGTTACTCTTTACTTTTGTTCCTTCACAATTGAACACAGACTCTAGGAACTGAGTTCAGTGGGCATCCAGTTGAGGCGGAAGAGTCAACACTTGAGGCATGCGTGATACTTTTTCTCCGTTGTGTACTTGTATTTTGTATATGATACTGAGGCATACGTTGGCACTTTGATAACTTGTCTTTCCTCATTTTAATGAAATATATAATACCCAGTTACATATTGAGTGATAATACTGCCAGTACTGCATAGTAGCACAGACTGATGTCTGAAATTCAAAGTTAGGTATATAACAACAGTATACAGTGTCAGTTTATGATGGAAAATATGAGTTTTGCGGAAGCTAAGACCTATGATTTTGGTAACTCTTAGGTTCATGGAAAGTTAGCAATTCTTGGAAATTGCAAACCTAGTCTGTTTTTAGTATTTTTTTTATTATGCAAATAAGCAAGTTTGATAAAAGTTTTGAAGTATTTGTACCAAAGAAGAGAAAATTTTAAGAAAGACAGAGCAGTAGGCAAGCATGAATATTAGGAAAGACAGTTTTTTAACACTGGAGAAAGTAAGCTCGGGCATGGTTTTGGAGATAGGAGGAAAGAAGGAAGATGATTATAAGAGGCTAATGAATAGTTAGTTAAGACATTTGAGCAGAATTTGGAGTATGATATGTTTTGTCTTGAGTTTTTTTAAATCTGTTATAAAATGTGGGCAAATGGCTATAGGTAATAGGTCAGAATCCCTAATTTTTACTTTAACATTTGTAAAAAAAAAAAAGTTAATGAGAAATGTCTGTACTACAGCATTCTTCCATCTTTTCATCTTGTAGCTGCTCAGTTTATTTACTCACAGCGTGACAAACCTGTTGTTGAGCCAGTAGAAGAATATGATTATGAAGATCTGAAGGAATCCTCCAGTTCTCTTTTGAGCAACCAGCTAAGTGAAATTGATCAAGGTATAGTAAAAAGTAGTCTTATGCGTTTTTTTATCTGAAGATGATTAATAATCAATATGCCACAATTTATCAGTTTTATTGTGATTGTTCATAATAATGATTGTGGGTAATAATGGCACAAATACATCTTATATCTTTAAGGAAAATTTATATTTTATTAGGTATATTTTGTGTAGAGTGTATGAGTAACTGTTGAAAATTGGCTTTTATTTAGTAACTGGAATTATTTATTTTTATTTTTTATTGTTTATTGATTTTTTAATTGGAACAGCCATGGTCAATGGGTACACATTGCTTTCATGCTACAATGACATAGCTGACTCTTTTAGGGAGAGCGCAGCTCACAGTGGCCCATGCGGGGATCGAACCGGCAACCTTAGTGTTATCAGCACCATGCTCTAACCAACTGAGCTAACTGGTCACCCCAGTAACTGGAATTTTTGATTGAAATCTTCGTTTCACCTTCTCCTTAGGAAAGAAACTTCAGTGTCTTGTTTCCTTTTAGCAATATCTAGAGCTTATGATTAGATTACAGAAGCTTATTTCCTTACTAAAAGTTAGGTTCCATAAGTCTGGTTTCTAAAAAAAAATTTTTGAAGTCCAAAGTAATGTACAAGTGTCCTGATGGTCATATCCATGTAAATTAAGTTTCAAGATAGAACTCGTAAATGGTAATGGCTTTGGTTCTGAGTTTGCATCTTTTCAATTAATTTGAAAACAGAAAGAGGAAATGTAAGAATCAGAGCTGAACATTGAATAAATCAATAAACTATATATCTGTTGCTAACCAACCCAAGAAAAATGGAGAGAAAACACAAATATACAAAATTAGGAAGCAGAAAGGGAAATAACAGATACAGAATAAAAAACATTTATCAACTGCAAATACATTTAACAATCTGGATAAAAGTTTGTGGAGGAGCAGCTATATATAAACTCCTTAATAGTATTTGATTGTATTTTTTTTAATGTTATGAGCATTTTAATAAAACCACTGTGCTTGGTACAGAGCTATTCAATAAAGTTCTGTTGTTTAAACTATAATAGCACCTAGAATTTGAGCGTCATTTTTTCTTTAATTTTTTAAATATTAGCTTCAGGTGTACAAAACAACATGATGATTAGACATTTACACCCCTCACGATTGTATTTTTAAAGAAAGTGTTGTAGTTGTCATTGTGGGGTGAGAGGGTAGGAATTGAGTGGAAGTCTTATACTTTTGCTGCTGTGCCTCAGAATGATTAAGAAGGTATGAAATTCAGAGTTCTTTTTAAGATTGAAAGTGAATCATTCCCACCTGACATATGTAAGTAATTGCATGATAACAATAATGATTGTAGCTAACCTTTACTAAATGCTTTCCAGGTACTGTTCTAAATGTTGTTCAGATATTAACGTATTTAACATTCACAGCAACCTCATGAGATAGGCCAGCTGTCCTTTTAAAGGCAAGGGAAATGAGACACTAAGAAGTACACTGACTGAGGTGGCACTTCCTAGTAATAAGTGGCACTAGGGCAGCAGTTCTCAACTTGTGGGTCGCGAACAACCCTTTCACAGGGGTCATCTAAGACCATCGGAAAACAAAAATATATTTACATTACGATTCATAACAGTAGCAAAATTACAGTTATAGAGTAGCAACGAAAATAATTTTATGGTTGGGGGTCACCACAACATGAGGAACTGTATTAAGGGGTTGTGGCATTAGGAAGGTTGAGAACTGCTGCACTAGGGTATGAACCAAGACAGCCGGACTTCGTATCTCTACTCTCTGGATATGTAGAAAATAGTTGCTATAATTAATTAGAAGAGGCCCTGATGCTAGCTATACTAAGTATTCTGTTCCAGTTTCAGTAATTCGTTTTTGTGAAATAGGCATGGTATAATTTTCCAAGTATAGCTTATTAGCCTAAAATTAATCTAGAGCTCAAGCAAAACAGAATTGCCCAAATATTTGAGAAAATTATTTTTAATACAGCCATGCACCCCCAAATGATGGGTTATGTTCTGAGAAGTGCGTGGCTAGGTGATGTCATCAGTGTGTGACTATCATAGAGTGCGCTTGCACAGACCTAAATGGTGTGGCCTACTACACACCGAGTGTATATTGTATACCTACCTATTGCTCCTAGGCTGCAAGCCTTTGCAGTGTTTTCCTGTACAGAACAACCCAAGATTCATCAAGATGTAAATGAAATGTAGGGGTCAGCTGCCGGCATAACACGGCATACTGTTTTACAGCAAATTTTTATAGATAAAAAGAGTACACTTGAAAGTAATGATAAAAAATATAGAATAGTAAATACATAAACCAGTGTGTCGTTAGTCTTACCAAGAATTATGTACTGTACTCAGTTATGTGTGCTGTACTGTTACCCAGCTGTCAGCACAGGTTTGTTTACACCAGCACCACCACAAACACGTGAGGGATGGGTTGCTTTAGGATATTACGATGGTGATGTCACTAGGCCATAGGAACTTTTCAGCTCCATTATAACGTTATGGGACCACCATCGTATAGGCACTCCATTGTTGACCAAAATGTAGTTATGTGGTGCAAGACAAATGAAAGAAAGTGATGGAATAAGTATCAAATACTTTATTTCTATCAAAGGGAGGGTATTGCCAGTAGATTCCTGCTTGATATATAAACATATTAAAGATGATATAAGTTTTATTGTGTGAAATGGTTTCATGGAGTAGGGAGTCTGAAAATCTGAGTTCTACTCTGATTACTGCTATATAAACTCAATAGTATTTGATTATAATTTTAAAGAAAGTGTAGTTGTTGTTATGGTGTATAGTTGCATGATTTTCAGTCATGTCTTTATGGATTAGAATTTGCCTGATATATCTATTGTGCAGATTAAAAAAGATATAAAGCATTTTGAAAACTGCCAAGTGCTATACAAATAAAATTAGTATATTCATCCATTTTTATTCAGTGGCCTCCACCAGGTACTAGTATTTTAGGATCCAGGGATATAAAGCCTCTGCTTTTGTAGACTTTTCGTCATTAATGAATATTATTAGTAATTACTTTTTATAAATAATGTCCTCAGAAAATAAAAAATCTTAAAGATTTTGGATTTTCAGATTTAGTTTTTTTATTTTTAAAATGAATGTGTATTCTGTTAATCTACTGGACTTCCTTATTTCTTTGGCATTTTTATATTAGGTTATAAGAGTTATTAAGAGTGATTTTAGTTGGCTGAGGAAAACTGAAATTAGCCTAAAAGAAAACTTAAGGTATTATGGAAGTAATTTAAGAAATTTAAGAAATATACTTAGTAGTTAACTGGGTTCACTAACAAGTTAGAAATATTTTCACACCTACCCCTCCCTTTTTACACCTTTAAAATGTCATCATCATCATCATCATCATCATCATCATCATCATCATCATTGACTGAAAATAGATACTAGTGTATACAATTTACATTTTTTTCAAGCATTAGTGTTATTTAGTAGACATTTATTACAGTGTTTGCTTAATTAATGAAATTGTTCTTCTGATAGGGGAAGATAAGTATATTGTGGATAAAAATATAATCATTATAAGTTTTACCAAAGAAAAAGGAGAGCTGAACATCATAGTTTCAAATTCTTTTTTTTGGGTTTAAAGAGTGAGAGTTCTTTCATGACACCATTTAGTATAGCTTTAATTAATTGTTGTCTGTTCTAGCTCGTCTTTATTCATGCCTTGATCACATGAGGGAGGTACTTGGAGATGCTGTACCAGATGACATACTGATTGAAGCAGTTCTGAAGAACAAGTTTGATGTGCAGAAGGCTTTGGCAGTGGTTCTGGAACAAGACAAAATGCAGAATTTGAAGGTCGAGAGTGAGGGAGCAGTATCTATAGGAAAGATAACAAAAGGTATGCTTTTACTTGTTCTTTTTTAGTTTTATGGTTAATGCTTTAAAAGAGGCTTTGATTTTCTTAAGCTGTTAAGAACAATGGGGAGAAAATTTTGCAGGTTAACAATAACTTGTGAATATTATCAATTGATTTTCTAGTTGAAGTTTTAAGCTGAGCACTGTGCTCCCTTCCCTCTGTTAAAGCCTGTTTTTTTATTATTTCCCTGTTTGTTTTCATAACTAACAGGATATAGGGGAAATAAAATCAGATTATAAACAAGACAAGACACTTTTTGTTTGTTAGTTGCTTAGAGAGCTTTTTCATTATCATTGTTTTTTTAACTCTTAATGGGTCAGGAGATGGAAATTAATAACCTGACAATGTCAAAAAAATCCCTTGATGCTTGTAGTACTGATAAATGTGATTTAGTTTTATTTAAATACATAAATACCATAATTATACTACTCTTGCATTTTATAGCCAGATTTTTAATTTTTAATTTGTGGAATTTGGGGTTAAATTTGGAACTTGGTCAACATAAGATGGGAACTGAGGTATTTTTATATTAATTGGCATGAGCACTGCTAGTAGGAGCATGGTGATTTGTTAACTGGGTTGGTATTTCCTGTCAGCTGAGGACCAGAGTTTTGCTACAACAAAGTTATATGCAGTCTGCTATCATGAATAGGGTGGTTTTTATTTTCTGTTTTAAGGTTTTTTTTTGTTTTTTTTTTCTTAATTTGTGGGGGATGAACTTTTAACTGACCAGTATGAGAATGAGTCTATTATATGCTATCTATATTAATAGTTTATCAGAGATCATGATAGAAATTGTAGGGTGTTGTTTGCATGTTTTTAATACATTAAAAATGCAGAAGATGAACCAAGTTCTTTCCATTGGTTTTTTTAAACACTGAGTTTGATACAATCCTGACTGTAATTTAAATATGTTAAAACCTCACAAAATTTGTGGAACTTAGAACATTGACTAACTTGGTACTTATATTTGTATATGTCAGTGAACAAAGTATGAAGGTCACTTTAGAGGTTAAAGAAAGGTAAAATTCCTTTGTTATTATTTTTTTAGAGTGTTCAATTTTTTATTAAATAATAATCAGCTGTCACTTGATTCATACCTTAAAAGAAATATTTAGTAATTAAATGCCTCATTTCATGTTTCCTTTTGGTTGCTTTGACTGTCTTCTGCATCTGTGAACCTGTTCATCTGAAAATTAATGGCTCTTGTAAGGTAAGGAGTCTTATTCTCTTACTCTGAAGTTTCAGTTTATAATGTTCAAGGCTCTTGTCCTCAGTCCGCAAACCATTTAGATTGCAGTAGTAAACCATTTGATTTTTCTGGTCCAGTAACAAAATATGGATTCTATCATAATTCCTCAGTTGTACCAAGTCACTATTTATTCCATAAAAAAAAGAAAGTTGACAGACCTAAAAGTGAAAAGAAACTAGAATCATGTATGTTAACAAAAGAGCTGTCACTAGCTGACCTAATGGATGATATGCCAAGAGATGCTTGTAAAAATCAGACGTCAGTCGGATTATCATCCACAGATAGTCTGCAAAGTCTGCTTTCAAAGAGCCTGGATGCTCATTTGTTAAGAACTCATGCATCTGAATGTGTTTCCAGAGATGATTCTGCCTTCAAAGGAATACCAGATTTAAAAGCCTTAATGATAAAGAACACGCCACCTAATAACTCTGTGATTATTCAAAATAACTCACTGCCTGATTTGCAAAACATTCCAGTACAAAACAGCTTAGCAAGTTTAAATAATCCTCTGCTCCTAACTAGCTCATTGGAAAATGTGGCTCTTGATAATTTAAATGCTCATAAAATGACTGAAGTTGGAAATGGTTCTTCAGTTGACCAAAGTGTGAAGAATTACGTTTTAAAAAATGACAGTTTGCAGTTTTCCCAGTGTGAAGGTCCATCCCTAGCTGAACTGTTGCAGGACCACAAAGAAAACAATCCGAACCACTGCTGTACTTTATCTGATCTTTGTAACCAGTCATCTGCCAGTTTCATAGATCTAAGTTTGGGATCCTTTTCCCTGTCACAGCCAGCAAATCAGTATCAGTCTTCGACTGGAATATCAGAATTAACAGGATCTCTATCATCTTTGGCATTTCATAAAGCTTCTCCTACAAGAGACCTTGAGAATTTGTCACTTTCTGATTTGATTGCAGAAACAATTGATATAGACAACTCTCAGATTAAGAAAGATTCCCTTAAACTCAGTTTATCTGAAATGAAATCACCTGGAATAGATTCAAATATTGATCTTAGTATCCTTATAAAAACCCCAGATTTTGTTCCAAAACCTGTAGTATGCCAATCAGTTGCCCCAACACCAGGAACTAAAGTTCTAAGTTCGAAGCTAGGGAAACATTCCATTTCTGCCAAGGATAGTAAGAAAAACAGTAAAGGCTCTCTGATCAGGAAGCCACCTTCTGCTCTGTCTTGGACCAAGGCCCTTGCAGCTAGACCTTCAGCTTTTGCTTCAGCACTGTGTCTTCGTTATCCATTGAAAAGCTGCAAGCGACGCACCCTTAACCTCTACAAGACTTTTCTTTATAGCAGACAAGTTCAAGATGTAAAGGACAAAGAAATAAGTCCTCTTGTAGCAATAACACCATTTGACTTCAAATCAGCATCTCCTGATGACATTGTAAAAGCTAATCAAAAGAAAGTTTTTACTAGAGAATAGTAACAAAAGGAAAACTTGATAACTGTTGTGGAGTTTTTTATTTTAAAGTGATTTAAAGTCTTAATGGGATTACCTTATATTATGAGATTTAAGTTGTGATTTTTATATTAAAATTGTCTTAAGTCAGTTGATAACTTTAGTTGATAAGTATTTTTACACTGAAATTTCTCCTTTTACTCTTATCTTTTTTAGTGATAGCTGGCTTTATTTAAGTTGATAGCCTTTAATGGGTGTGTTTACAAGATGCATACGGAAACTTGATATTGTGAAATCAAACCTCAGATACAGTATTTTTGTTTGAAGCAGTCAACTCTTTTACAATGAGACCTTTTCTATTATAAAATATTTTTGCGCTTTGTTCTTAAATGAAACGCCACTGCTTAGGATTATTATACTGGGGGTGCCCCAAATATGTATACATATAACTTGTATTGATCTTTTGTTATATATATTGAGTATTACAAGTTTAATACAGTGTTTCCTTTTTTTTTTTTTTTAAGATTTTTATTGGGGAGTTGGGGGGATGGGAACAGCGCTGGGGAATTGGGGGAAGGGGAACAGACAAGTTGCTGTCGTTTTGTTCTTCAGTCTAG